ATATTATTAACTAAATATTATTAATATTTATATTGTATTAAAATCCTTTAGATAAGTATAGCCTAGTAAGAGAAAAATCCTGTGTTCATCTACTGTTTGGGAAAACACAATACCAGAAAGGTATGAGGAAGGAATAAATAAAGAAGGGAAAAAAAAGTTGAATTTTGGGAAGGATTGATGTGGGAAGAGATGCTGCCAGATTCACTTGCTGTAGGGCTGCAGCTCCAAATAATTCTCTCAAGTGGTGAAAAGGAATAGATTCCTACAGCTATGAACAGATGAACCTAACAACCCTACCCTTTTTGCGTGTAGAAAACAAGGGGCAGTGGAATGGAGAATGAAAAAAAAAAAAGGGGGATTGTCTAAATGAAAGCAAACATGACTTGATAGTTGTTTACTTCAACTAAAGAAAAGACTATCCAAAACTACCTGAAAAATATGAACTGGAGAGCTATTTAGGGGAGTTCAAGAGCATAAGTTGCATAGGAACTCTACAAATAAATCAGGAAATTGGTCATGTAGAAAATAAGTCATCTGGATTCTGGGCAACCTTTCTTACCAATGAGAACTAGTAGGTTAAAAGCAGGTGTCTGAATCTGAGTAATTTGGCAGTAGACAAAGAATTGGAAAAAATAATGCATTCTTGCATGGACTGTGGAAGGATGGATATGCAATTGTATAGGCTATATATGACTTTCAGGCTATGATTCTATGAAACTTAATTTCAATCGGCATTAAAAAAAAACCCCAAACCAACAAAAACCCAGCAGCTCACCAGATATTCAAACTTGACATCCAGGTATTTTTTGATAGTCAGCCTTGTGTCAGGAATGGCTTTATTCAGATATGTATTCAAGTCAGTCAGCATCTGCAAGGGAAACATCCTGTTGCTGAATCTAAGACCAAAAAGCATGACTACAATTCATTAAGTGCAACCTTCTAACCAGCACAGGTCACGAGACTGCCTCGAGTTAACTCTTTTTTGAACTAGAGCATATTTGAAAGAAAATGTTTGATCTTGACTCAGAATTGCCACAATTAGAGAGAGCATCCATTACTGTCACTGGCAAGCGGTTCCAGTGTTAGAAATTCATCTTCTTTCAAATTATCTCGTTGCATTTTCAATTGGTCCTGGAAACCACTCTCCCCAGTTCAAAGGCCCACTACCCAATCTGTCCATCCAACACGGCACTGAAAGTGGTGCCCAAATTAACATTTAATCCTCTCTCTACTAAGAGACAGATCCTCTGGAGACTCTCACTTAAATATATTGATTGAAATCCTTAAGTTGTTCCTGGACTGCTTATCTAAACTCTTTCAAATTTAGTGATATCTTTTAACTATGGGTACCAATATCATGGAAAGGGCTCTAGGGACTACACTGACCAAACTACCCCTTCATCCCCAAAAGAAAAGGAGAGGAATATACTCATGTGCAAAAGTCAAACGGACAACATATATTCACTACGTTAACTCTTAGGTTCTTTACAAAGAGTGTTCCCTGAAGTCAAAGATAGTTCTTCCCACAATGCATGATTTATAGACATGCTTCAAAGACATGCTTCTGTCTTTCTAGATTCCCCTCTTCTCCAGACCCTTTACTCCTACAGTTAAATTCTTTACCGGCTTAATCGTTTTCAGAAGGTGAATCCCAAACTTCTCAATGTTGCGATGGGCATCAGCAAATTTCACAAAGGCTTCACTGGCAGCTGGTTGCGGCTCCCGTACACCAATGACAGAGAAAACATCTCCGAATGCTGGACGAGGGTAATAAATACAAACAGATGAAAGAATAGGTTGACCCTGGAGAAGAATCCTGCCTCCAATATTACAACTCCTTCCGACAACCTTGCAATAAGCTGCAGAATGATGCTACATATTCCCTAAAGACCGGAAGTTGGCAGGGCACTTCTTCAACGTCTCATGTGTCAGCACCGTGACTGCCAATGCCAGGAGAGCAGCCCTTACCAGCTCATTTCTGCAACACTTAATTTTCTTTGAGTGAGGGAATCACGCATCTAAGTACTGACTAAAACTCCTGAAACTGGAGGTCAAAGATTTCTGCTCCCTTCACTCAAGGTTCTTTACCTCTGTGTGTCTGGGATAGTTCAAAGAAAGCCCTGAGAAGACTCTTCGTGTGCTCTGTCAAGCCTGTGATGGAAGGCAGAAAAAACATTTAAGTCATGTCACTGTAACATAATGGAGGCATCCTTCTCTCCCATCTGGTGCCTGATGGATGACACAGTTTACCTTTGTATAACTCTGCAGTCCTCTCCAGCTCCTCTAATCTCTTCACTAGTCCATCTAAATGGAAACAAGAATTAGAATACAAAATTAAAACAGTCAAGTCCAGGACATGGTTAAGACTTGACTGACTGGAAAAACACCAGTTTCATATTTTTGGTTCAAATTTCTCTCACCTCTTAATTTCTGTCCCCTAGTCCAACATAGGGAGCTTTTAAAATAACTGCCAATTAGTTTTACAGTGTGGTGTCATCATCTATCAGCATTCACTAAGTGGGTCCCCACTTTAAATTAATTTGACCTTAGCTAACATTTAAGTGGCCACAATGACAGGATATATCACTCAGGAAGGGCAGAGGCAATCACAGCAGTGATGTACAGCGGAAGGAAAGAATTATGAAGGAATAATGTGGAACACACAAGTAACTATAAAAAGTTGGTAAGCAGAAGAGAGTAAATGTTCCCTTAAGAAAATATCCTCCTGGACAATACTTACCATTGCAAAGTATGGCTCGGCTTAACCCCAGGGCATCTGCTGTCCCTGAGCTCATGTTCTCTACCAGTCGATGCTTTACCTTCTTCAATACTAAAGGCCAAAAGAGAGTTGTAAACCAGGATCAGAGTAACTTCTATGAGCACGAAAAGCATGCTAGCATACTTCACCACTTTCTCAGACATTGAATAAACTGGCCAGTCTGAACTGAACTTGCTATTAAGGTGGTGAGCAGAAAAAAGATACCATAGAAACTAGATGTTCGGTCCAGCTGTGTATAGCACACCTTCTATCTTCTGTCTGTTCTGCTCTCACATCCTATATACTTAATTGATAGAGCTCTTGCACTTCTTTTGGAAGAATATTCCAATAAATCACTTTGCTATAAGCTACCTATTGTGATATTTGGAACTAAACTTCGCTTATGCTACTTGCTGTATTACTTGAACCAAAGTCAGGAGATGAGGCTAAAAGCAGACAAATAGGATTTAATGCTCAAAGTTATCCCTTTGCTTACTTTTATCTTGTGGATCTTAGTTAAACCCTTTTGTCACCCCTTGATGGAATTCATTTCTGTTGTTGGTGGTCATACCCTGCAAATCACTAGAGACAATTATGCCCTCTTTGGAATCAGATGACTCAGCTATATTTATTTAGAGGCAAACTTGCAGGGGTGCCAAGTGCCTGCAGCTCCCAAGAACTCAGCTGGAGCCACAGTGTTCAGCATCTCTGGAAAATATGATATTGTCAGCACACTGCTGTTTCCCCAGAAATCCATCTCAGTCCTCACCATTTTCCTGAACCTCTGTCAATTCATTAGCACCTTAATCACCATGAAAAGAAATGAAAGCAAAAAGAACACACGGATTTTTTTTTAGGAGAGTGAGAAAGGTAGACCATATAATGGAGACAGCTGCATAAGCTTAGTTCAAAACGCATGCTTTGCTTTAGAAATAAAGCCTCCCCTCTCTCCCATAAAATTCATGGTTGTGCAAAACTCAGTGTAGATAGGTATTTCATCACTGTTCTCCACGCTGAGAAACTGCAACCAGTGTTTTTCGATAGACACATTTCTGTGTACAGCTGAAACTCTCAACAGAGCAGCATAACTTACATGTATTAAAAATAAATAAATAAAATTATTATCTAGTTGAGTTTCATCATCCATGCTAAATACAGCACAGGAAAACAAGTCTCCCACAACAGTCAAGCCTCGATTTAACTTCCAAGACTATTTCAAGAAGTCAGGGAAGGGCTTTTTTTAAACCTGTAATTCTCTTTGACAGCATCCATCTGAAAATGACTGAGTTAAGAGGAAGAACAGAACCAGAATTTTACTTTGGTTTTAGCTGGGACCAATCTTTCACCCCTCTATGTCACTTTAACACTCTAAGGAGAAAGAAACCAGTCTCACCGATATCCAAAGACTTGCCCTGCTTTGGGTCGGCCTGAAGCTTGTTGTAGTGAATTGTCACTTCTCCCTGTAGAAAGAGCAAATCCAAAACTGCTGTGCTGGAAGCAAGTAGCAGTGGCTTACTTTACCAGTGGACAATAAACCGTAAACTACAACCCAGAAGCTCCAGTGGCCCCCTCCTACCTCTCACCTTTACCATCTGTATCATCTTGGCCACCTCCACCTTGGTCTTCCCTTTGACGGACTTCCCATTCACTCCTGTGATTTCATCACCAGCTGCTACAGTGCCGTCTAAGGCTGCTGGAGTGTTATCGAATACCTAGCGGAGAGGAGAAAGCAGAGGTAGTCTGGAATCAAGCGGAAGAGAAGGGTGAATGTAGGGCTGAAGAAGAAAAAAGGGACAATTACATTCCTCCTGTTTAACTCAGTTGTATTTTGTTCACAGTGAAGCCGCAGATTTTCCCCTTTCCTAACTAAGATCTTGTGGATCATCTTGTTCTCTCAGGAAGTTCTTGCCTCCAGGACGTACCTCCTCAAGCGTAGGATTTCTTGATGTCAAGTGAGAATGTCACACTGTTCCCCTGTGAATTCTAACTTGCTCTCCAAGGAGAAGGATAATTTCAGAAGTCTTAATTAAATTCTTCCACATCTACTAGGTACTAGGGTAAGGAAATCCTATTCACTGGAAAGTGAGATGATGTCTTACACTTTGAGACAAACAAATAGCTTAGGGCTCTCCATACTTCCCATCTCTCTGCCCAACACTGTTTTACAAAGATGGTTCTTCCTCCCCGAGTGCCCACCTGGACAATGTAGAGACAGGGGCAGTACTGTGCTCCTCCCCCAATGCTGATCCCAATCAGGTTCTGAGGGTCTTTCTTCAGGGTCACTGTCCCAGGTACAGTGGGGATCCCCCTAGAATGGGAAAGGGTGAATGAATAACTGAACACGGTAGGCAGAGCTGCACGTGTCTGAAACAACTCTGGTATCTGAGTCGATACAAACTGAAAACATAACAGGCATGGCACATTTGAATTCATCATGTAATCTCTGCCGTAGAGTCTATCAGCACGGGCCAGCAGAAAGACCTTCTGGGCTATCTTTTTTGAGACTGCATGCAAGGATTAGAGGTGGGAGAGACACCCTCACCCATCACTAGGCACTGAGGAAACATCATGTTTTAGAGAGTGTTTTATCTGCTTTTAGTGCTGGAGTGAAAGCAAAACTTGCACAGCATAAATGAGATGCAAGACAAGAGCTCCATGTCAAATCCATTGCTAATCTCATCGAACCTTTTACTTGCTCAGGAAATGCCAGTGTTCTCCTCCCTACAGACCTAAGGAGTCCAGAGTTTCTCTCCACTTATCATAGAACCATAGAATGGTTTGGATTGGAAGGGACATTAAGGATCACCTAGTTCCAACCCCCCTGCCACGGGCAGGGACACCCTCCACTAGACCAGGTTGCCCAAAGCCCCATCCAACCTGGCCTTGAACACCTCCAGGGAGGGGGCATCCACAACTTCTCTGGGCAACTTGTTCCAGTGCCTCACCACCCTCACAGTGAAGAATTTTTTCCTAATATCTAATCTAAATCAACCCTCCTTCAGTTTAAACCCATTACCCCTCATTCTATCACTACGTGCCCTTGCAAACAGTCCCTCTCCAGCTTTCCTGTAGGCCCC